GGGGGGGGGGGGGAGGAGGGGGGGGGGGGGGGGGGGGGGGGGGGGGGGGGGGGAAAGGGGGGGGGGGGGGGGGGGGGGGGGGGGGGGGGGGGGGGGGGGGGGGGGGGGGGGGGGGGGAAGGGGGGGGGGGGGGGGGGGGGGGGAGGGGGGGGGGGGGGGGGGGGGGGGGGAGAGGGGGGAAGGGGGGGGGGTGGGGGGGGGGGGGGGGAGGGTGGGGGAGTGGGGGGGGGGGGGGGGGGGGGGGGGGGGGGGGGGGGGGGGGGAGGGGGGGGGCAAGGGGGGAGGGAGGGGGGGGGGGGGGGGGAAGGGGGGGGGGGGGGAAGGGGGAGGGGGGGGGGGGAGGGGGGGGGGGGGGGGGGGGGGGGGGGAAGGGGGGGGGGGGGGGGGGAGGGGGGGGGGGGGTGGGAAGGGGGGGGGGGGGGGGGGGGGGAGGGAGGGGGGAGGGGGGGGGGGGGGGGGGGGGGGGGGGGGGATGGGGGGGGGAAGGGGGGGGGAAAGGGGGGGGGGGGGGGGGGGGGGGGGGGGGGGGGGGGGGGGGGGGGGGGGGGGGGGGGAGGGGGGGGGGGAAAGGGGGGGGGGGAGGGGGGGGGGGGGGAAGGGGGGGAAGGGGGGGGGGGGGGGGGGGGGGGGGGGGGGGGGGGGGAGGAGGGGGGGGGGGGGGGGGGGGGGGGGGGGGGGGGGGGGGGGAAGGGGGGGTGGGGGGGGGGGGGTGGGGGGGGGGGGGGAGGGGTGGGGGGGGGGGGAGGGGAAGGGGGGGGGGGGGCCCAGGGGGGTTGGTGGGGTAGGGGTGGGGGGGGGGGGAGTCTGGGGGACGCTGAAATAGGGCCGGGTGGAAGGGAGTGGGGGGGGGGGGGGGTTGATGGTGGGACGAAGGTTTGCAGTGAAGGGGGCCCCTCCGGTGCTTCACGAGAGAGAGGGGAGGGACCGCTGGGGGACGAGGTGACGTGGCTGGGGGGTGATGGGTGGGGTAGCCGCGGAGGGTCTGGGAGAAGAGGAAGCCAGCTGGCCGTCTGACTGACAGGGAGACGCCGGCTGGGGGGTTACCGGCTCTCTGTCGCCTCACAGTAGTGGGAAACCCCCCGTTGACGGGACCAATTGCTGACTGCCCATAAACCCCGGCTACCTACTGTCTGCAGCCCCCCGGTTCACTGAAGGGCCTGGAGCCCCCCGGCCAGCTGACTGCTCGATCCTGGGCCAGGGAGACCCGGGAGTGCCAGGAGACCCACCCTGCTGGGGGGGGGGCCCTTGGACGAAGGGGAGGTGGGGGGGGGAGAGCTACAGCGTTGGAAGCCCAGAGGAACCCCCCCAGGACAGAGCTGTTGTGAAGGCCCTCGCCCCCAAACTTGGAGCTACCGTCCTGGGAAGAGAAGGGTGAGTGAGAGCTGCTGGGGTCTATTGTCTAGTTGACTCCTGATGACATTGGGGTGGGGGTTAAGGAGGAGGGGAGGGGGAGGGGGGGTTCAGAAGAGAAGAGTCCCACACATACACATCCCTAGGAGAGCATAAGCAAAAGTAGTAAACCCGTCTGGATCATAGGGGGGAGAGGTACAATTTCCATCTAGAGAATATAGAAGGCAAAAGACTTAAAGAGGATATGAAGAATAAAGGTCCTAAGGGAGCAGGGCTCAAAGGGTCTCAATCAGGCACGATAACGAATTTACATCATATGGAAACATTACGCCAGAAAGGGCCCAAGGCAAGCGCTAAAGGGGAAATGGACACTAGCGTTCTCAGGAAACAGTCCGAGACTATCACTGGGTATGAACAGCAGTTGTAGCCAACAAATAGCGGATGGCTTGGGAACAGGTAGCAAGCAGCGTGGTACAGAGGGTCAGACAGAGGGATGGTCAGGAGCGAGCCGGGATCAGAGCAGGAGAAGTCAGCAGCGGTTCAGAAACAGGATGCAGGACAGAAACAGGAACAGGGCCCAGGACAAAAACACACACCAAGGCAGAGTCTGTGGGTCTGGCCATCCCTTAAATACCCCAGCATAATCAGTTACAGGTGTTAGCTGGCTGCAAAGTTGAGTCTCTGATTGCTGGGAACACCCGCTGGCCAGCCCTGGTACTGCAGATATCAAAAGGCAGGTGAGTCCCACCATAGCTGGCCAGTCCATTCCTGACAGTACCCCCCCCTCAAGGAGCGGCCTCAGGACGCTCCAAACAGTCCTAGCTGGGGAAAAATGTTCCACCGCCCGGGTCTGGTAACTGGCGGGATATCAAAGACTGGCACACCGGGCAGGACTCCGGGCAGCGGTACACCGGGCAGAGGCACATCGGGCTGGACTCCGGGCAGAGGCACATCGGGCTGGACTCCGGGCAGAGGCACATCGGGGGACTCCGGGCAGAGGCACATCGGGCTGGACTCCGGGCAGAGGCACATCGGGCTGGACTCCGGGCAGAGGCACATCCGGGCAGAGGCACACCGGGCAGAGGCACACCGGGCAGAGGCACACCGGGCAGAGGACTCCGGGCAGAGGCACATCGGGCTGGACTCCGGGCAGAGGCACATCGGGCAGGGACTCTCGGGCAGAGGGGCTGGACTCCGGGCAGAGGCACATCGGGCAGAGGCACATCGGGCTGGACTCCGGGCAGAGGCACATCGAGCAGAGGCACCGGGCAGAGGCACATCGGGCAGGACTCCGGGCAGAGGACCCGGGGGAGGCCCAGGGGCTACCAGGCGAAGCAGCAGGCAGCGGGCCCCGGGCGGAGCGACGGGCGCCGGGCCCCCGGGCGGGGCACACGGGGGCCCCCGGGCGGGGCAGGGCACCGGGCCCCCGGGCGGGGCGACAGGCACCGGGCCCCCGGGGGGGCGACGGGCACCGGACCCCCAGGCGGGGCGACAGGCATTGGCCCCCAGGCGGGGCGACAGGCGCCGGACCCCCAGGCGGGGCGGCAGGCGCCGGACCCCCAGGCGGAGCGGCGGGCAGGCCGGGCCCCCACAGGCGGAGCTACAGGTCTCGGGCCCCCAGGGCGAGCGGCGGGCGCCGGACCCCCAGGCGGAACTACAGGTCTCGGGCCCTCAGGCGGAGCGACAGGCATCGGACCCCCAGGCGGGGCGACAGGCATCGGACCCCCCAGGCGGGGCGACAGGCATCGGACCCCCAGGCGGGGCGACAGGCATCGGACCCCCAGGCGGGGCGACAGGCATCGGGCCCCCAGGCGGGGGCGACAGGCATCGGGCCCCCAGGCGGGCGACAGGCATCGGGCCCCCAGGCGGAGCGGCGGGCGCCGGACCCCCCCAGGCGGAGCGGCAAGGCGCCGGACCCCCAGGCGGAGCTACAGGTCTCGGGCCCTCAGGCGGAGCGCGGGGGGCCGGACCCCCAGATGGAGCGACAGGTCTCGGGCCCTCAGGCGGAGCAACAGGTCTCGGGCCCCCAGACGAAGGGGCGCGGGCACCGAGTCGTCTGGCAAGACTGCGGGCACCGAGTCGTCTGGCAGGACTGCGGGCACCGAGTCGTCTGGCGACAGACTGCGGGCCCGTCAGTCGGTCTGGCGAAGACTGCGGGCACCGAGTCGGGTCTGGCAAGGACTGCGGGCACCGAGTCGTCTGGCAAGACTGCGGGCACCGAGTCAACTGGCGGAACAGCGGGCATCGAGTCGTCTGGCAAGACTGCGGGCACCGAGTCGTCTGGCACAGACTGCGGGCACCGAGTCGTCTGGCAAGACTGGCGGGCACCGAGTCGTCTGGCAAGAGTGCGGGCACCGAGTCGTCTGGCAAGACTGCGGGCAGGCGAGTCAACTGGCAAGACTGCGGGCATCGAGTCAACTGGCAAGACTGCGGGCATCGAGTCGTCTGGCAAGACTGCGGGCATCGAGCACCAACTGGCAGGGAACTGCGGGCACCGAGTCGTCTGGCAAGACTGCGGGCACCGAGTCGTCTGGCAAGACTGCGGGCACCGAGTCGTCTGGCAAACTGCGGGCACCGAGTCGTCTGGCAAGACGGGCGGGCACCGAGTCGTCTGGCAAGACTGCGGGCACCGAGTCGTCTGGGCAAGACTGCGGGCACCGAGTCAACTGGCAAGACTGCGGGCACCGAGTCGTCTGGCAAGACTGCGGGCATCGAGTCAACTGGCGGAACTGCGGGCACCGAGTCGTCTGGCAAGACTGCGGGCACCGAGTCGTCTGGCAAGACTGCGGGCACCGAGTCGTCTGGCAAGACTGCGGGCACCGAGTCGTCTGGCAAGACTGCGGGCACCGAGTCGTCTGGCAAGACTGCGGGCACCGAGTCAACTGGCAAGACTGCGGGCATCGAGTCAACTGGCAAGACTGCGGGCATCGAGTCACTGGCGGCAAACTGCGGGCACCGAGTCGTCTGGCAAGACTGCGGGGGCACCGAGTCGTCTGGCAAGACTGCGGGCACGAGAGTCGTCTGGCAAGACTGCGGGCACCGAGTCGTCTGGCAAGAAGCTGCGGGCACCGAGTCGTCTGGCAAGACTGCGGGCACCGAGTCGTCTGGCAAGACTGCGGGCACCGAGTCGTCTGGCAAGACTGCGGGCACCGAGTCGTCTGGCAAGACTGCGGGCATCGAGTCGTCTGGAGTCGTCTGGCAAGACTGCGGGCACCGAGTCGTCTGGCAAGACTGCGGGCACCGAGTCGTCTGGCAAGACTGCGGGCACCGAGTCGTCTGGCAAGACTGCGGGCACCGAGTCGTCTGGCAAGACTGCGGGCACCGAGTCGTCTGGCGGAACAGCGGGCATCGAGTCAACTGGCGGGACTGCGGGCACCGAGTCGTCTGGGCTGCGGGACGAGTCGCGGGCACCGGTCGTCTGGCAAGGCTGCGGGCACCGAGTCGTCTGGCAAGACTGCGGGCACCGAGTCGTCTGGCAAGACTGCGGGCACCGAGTCGTCTGGCAAGACTGCGGGCACCGAGTCGTCTGGCAAGACTGCGGGCACCGAGTCGTCTGGCAAGACTGCGGGCACCGAGTCGTCTGGCAAGACTGCGGGCACCGAGTCGTCTGGCAAGAAGCGGCGGGCACCAAGTCGTCTGGCAAGACTGCGGGCACCGAGTCGACTGGCGGAACAGCGGGCACCGAGTCGTCTGGCAAGACAGTGGGCTCCGAGTCAACAGGCACGACAGTGGGCACCGGGTCATCAGGTATCGGATTGTCTGGCTCGACAGCGGGCATCGGGTCACCAGGTATGACAGCGGGCACTGGGTCACCGGCATCAGGTCATTTGGCTTGCCAGCGGGCACCGCGTCATCTGGCAAGGCAGTGGGCACCGGGTCACCAGGTATGACAGCGGGCTCTGAGTCAATTGGCACGACAGCGGGCACTGGATCAGGTACCGGATCATCTGGATCAACAGCGGGCATCAGTCAACTGGCCTAATAGGATCGTCGGGCTGGATCAGTTCATCATGCTGTAGCAGGTCAGCGGCATCAGGCTGAGTAGATCAGGCATCAGGCTGAGGAGAGGCTTCAGGCTGAGGAGAGAGGCTTCAGGCTGAGGAGAGGCATCAGGCTGAGGAGAGGCATCCGGCTGAGAGAGGCATCCGGCTGAGGAGAGGCATCCAGGCTGAGGAGAGGCTTCAGGCTGAAGAGAGGCTTCAGGCTGAGTAGAGGCTTCAGGCTGAGTCACGGAAGGCAGGTTCACCGGTTTGGATACTGGCAGGATGGTATGGTTGGAAAGAATTTTCGCTTTTTTCTGGTTTTAACTACTGGAGCACTGCAAGTAAACGCAGGTCTGCAAACGAATGGAGCAGCTGGAGACAGAGAAACTGGAGGATGGAACAGGAGAGGGAGCAGTTGCTACAGAGGGCTTTTTTACAGGGTTAAAGGCAGGATAGGTGCAGCGAGTGGGAACAGGGTACTGACATGCGGTAGATAGCCAAGTATACTGGGCTGTAACTGGAGGAGCTGGTGGGAATACAGGAGTAGAGTTAGAAGCAGGACTGGGTTTTTGTAAGCTGACTGAGGCTGGGTGCAACAAGTCTGTCCATGTCTGCAGTAGGGGTTGAACAAAGCTGAGCTTACACAAAGCCTGTCTGGTCAATGACTGCACTGCGTTTATACAATCTCTTAGTGTCTGTGGTGAACATGTGGAATAACGCTCCAGAAAGTAACCCACATCATCCTCTAATAACCACACCAGGGACTCAACCTGGTCTGCACTAAATGGTGGCAAAAATTCATCCCTGCATTCGGGGGAACCAGATGAAACCAACTCAACACAAACCTGAATCAATGGCTGCACCATAGAGAAATCTGTGCCCTGATCTACTAGAACATGAGCGAGCCGTATACATTCTAGCAGTTCATCCCGGGGATACTCCTTCAGAGTCTGATAAGCATACTCTCTGTCATCAAGCACTAGCAGAGATAAATACTCAACCTCATCCAGATCCATCCTTCCCATCAACAAGCCAAGATGGCTTCCCTGTGCAGCCACTTCTGGTCAGGATTGGCCTTGGTGTAATGTCAGGGCTCCCAGGTGTGACCAGAGATGTGTGACTGACGCAGGGAAACGCAGACCTCAGATATGTTATAAACAATATAATTTATTAACACTAACAATACAAACATAAACGCAGTGAAATACTAAAACATAATACAGTGCAAACAAACCAAACCAAACCACCCACAGATAACAGTACATACAAGCAAGCGTCGTCAGGCAGGCCGGGTCAATATCAATAGGGCAGGTAGGTACAGGGGGAGCAAGCGGAGATTGGTCAGGGTCACAAGCCAGGGATCAGAACAGGTAGCAAGCAGCGTGGTACAGAGGGTCAGACAGAGGGATGGTCAGGAGCGAGCCGGGATCAGAGCAGGAGAAGTCAGCAGCGGTTCAGAAACAGGATGCAGGACAGAAACAGGATGCAGGGCCCAGGACAAACACACACCAAGGCAGAGTCTGTGGGTCTGGCCATCCCTTAAATACCCCAGCATAATCAGTTACAGGTGTTAGCTAGACAGGAGGACTGGCAGCGGGTCGGGGGGAGGGGGAGGGAGGTTCTGGCGTTGGGGAGAAAGGGGAGGGAGAATTAAGTAAAATATATGCTTTTTCTTTTCTCTATCTTTTTCCCTAGCCCCTTTTGTAGCCCCCTTGTTGAAGTGGAAGTCCATCTGGAAGCTCCGGTTAAGAGAGGGAAGTAAAGGGTATTGTTCAGCCCAGTTGATAGAGAAAGGGGAGCTAGGGAGTTCGGAGGAGAGGTGAGCCGTCCATGGGCGGAGCTTAATCCCAGTATTTTAAATCAACCGTGGAAATAGTTCCACAAATGATTTATAGGCAGTTTATAAGCCTAAAAATGGGTAGGGGAAAAACAAGAGAGGGGGGGGGGGGCGGGGGGGGGGGAGACAGGGATTGGGTGGGGGGAAGGGGGGGGAGGGGCCGTGGGGCTAATATTTTGCAAGATATTCGGGCCTAATAGGAAGAGACAAATTAGAAGAGAGAGAGACAGAATTAAGAAGGATGGAAGAAAATACAGTTTATAACATATAATGTGAATGGGTTGAATTGTCCTGGGAAAAGATTTAAAATGTTTAAAGAGTTACATCACAGGGCAACGTCAGTGGTATTTCTACAGGAGACACATTTTGAGATAGAATCAAATGTGAAATTAAAATCCAAATATTATCCAACATGGTATTATGCTGACTCTCCAATCAAAAGAGCAAAGGGGGTGGCAATAGGATTGGCAAAGAATATGAGATTTGAGTTGGAAGATAGAAAGACTGACCCGGAAGGGAGATTCCTGTTTTTGAAGGGTAAACTTCAGGGAATTGAATGTACACTAGCCAATATATACTGCCCCAACAAGAAACCTGAGATCTTTTTGAAGGGTTTGTTGAAAAAATTAATAGACTTTAAAAAAGGGCATTTGATAATAGCAGGAGATTTAAATCTTTGTATGGACCCACAAAAGGATGCAACCTCCCTTGTGCAGAGAGAGAGGGGTAGGTCTCTGAGAGCCTTGAAGAAGGCGATCCACGAGTACCAACTGGTGGACGCCTGGAGAATGATGCATATGAAAGACAGAGACTATACCTTCTTCTCTAATGCACATGAGATATACTCGAGACTGGATTATATTCTAATAGATCATCAACTCATTGAAATGCTGGTTAAAATAGAAATAGAGACAAGAACTTTTTCGGACCATGCCCCAGTCATAATGAAAATAGGATGGGGGAAAAGGTGGACGGGAGGTCTAGGATGGAGGTTAAATGAGGCTCTTCTCTTTGATGAGGATATTGTGCAGAAGATCAAGGAAGAGATTAAGGTATATTTCAAAGAGAATGAGACAGAGGAAGTATCGACAGCTACAGTATGGGAAAGTCATAAGGTATATATAAGAGGAATCTTGATTGCGATGGGAGCAAGGAAAAAAAAAGAAAGAAGAGAGAGGGTTAGTGGACTTTTAAAGGAAATCCTGGAGTTGGAGCAGATACATAAGAAGAAAATAACAATAGAAACAAGACAGAAGCTAATGGGATAAAAGAGATGAATTAGAGAGATTGATGGAAGAGGAGAGGAGAAGAGTATATAACAAGGTATTGGGTGAAAGATATAGATGGGGTGATCGACCAGGAAAATACTTAATGAGAGCCCTGAATAAAAAGAAAAACAGGAATTATATAGAAAAGATAAAAAGCCCTAAGGGGGAGTTGGTCCACTCAACTAAAGAAATCATTAAAGTATTCACGGAGTACTATAGAAAGTTGTACAACATCAGCCACCAAGGTTCACCAAAAGAAAATAGAGAAGGTATTAATGAAAAAAGGATGATATATTTAAAAAATGCGGGATTGCCAAAGCTCAGTGAAACACTATTGAACTCCTTGGAATCAGAAATTTCTCAGGAAGAAATAGAAGTAGCATTAAGAAGTACAGGGGGAGGGAAAAGCCCAGGCCCGGATGGTTATACAATTAAGTACTATAAAAAATTTTGTGAAGTACTGTTACCAAAGTTAAAGAAATATATGAATGACTTGGGAGGTGGGATGGAGGGGAGGAGGGAATCCCTTCAGGCCCATGTTGTTCTCATTCACAAGGAGGGAAAAGATCCTTCTCAGTGCTCTAGCTACAGACCAATTTCATTATTGAACACTGATACCAAGTTGTACGCAAAGGTCCTAGCAAACAGGCTGAAAGATCTAATGCCCGAATGGATCCATGGAGACCAGGTGGGATTTGTCCGGGGAAGAGAGGGTAGAGACAATGGGTTGAGAACTTTGATGCTTATTCAGAAAAGTAGAAAAGGGAAAGCCCCGGTGGTGCTCTTGCCAATTGATGCCGAAAAGGCGTTTGATAGAGTGGACTGGGGCTTTATGATGGACAACTTGGAAGTGTTGGGGATTGGAGAGAGAATGCGTGAGTGGATAGGTAAATTATATAGGGAGCCCACCGCAATCATCACGGTAAATGGGGAGAGGTCGGAATCCATCGGGATGTCCAATGGAACAAGACAAGGATGTCCATTGTCCCCCTTGCTGTATGTTTTGACATTGGAACCCCTGCTATCAATAATAAGGAATAGTGGAGCGATAAAGGGAATACAGATAGAAAACATAGAACATAAAGTAGCGGCCTTTGCGGACGACCTTCTGTTTTATGTAGGCAACCCCCGAATAACACTACCAAGTATAATGAAGATCTTGAAGGAATATGGTGAACTATCAAATCTAAAAATTAACCCAACAAAAACAGAGATTCTGAACATTAATATACCAAAGAGCGAAAAAGAAAAACTACAAAAAGAATTCCCCTTTATTTGGAGAGAAAAAGATATAAAATACCTAGGAATAAAACTTGCTACCTCACATAAACAACTGTATAGATTAAACTATATTTCTCTGATAAATGAGACTAAGGACGAACTAAAAAGATTAGAAGGAGGAAACCCATCATGGTTAGGACGTATAAACCTAATTAAAATGGTAATTATACCTAAAATACTCTATAGATTTCAAATGATCCCAATCAAACTCCCAGAGGCGTTTTTTAAGATAATGAGAAGAATGCTAACAAGATATATATGGAGGAATAAAAAACCAAGAATATCATATGAAACACTAAGTAGGACTAAAGAGAAAGGGGGGATGGGACTACCTGATGTTAAGAGATATTACAAAGCTGTAATTTTAGCAAGAATTTATGATTGGACTTTTAACTATAAGGGGAAAAGTTGGGTAAAAAATAGAAAACGAACTGAGTGGAATTAATTTGAGTAAGATGATATGGGTTCCAGCACATTATAGAACAATTAAAGAAAGCACAAGCACTTACATCTTAAATGTGTTAAAGATATGGGATAATTTACACAAACATATGAAATGGGAATTCAATTCTATATTAATGCCTCTTGCAAACATGGAATTTTTCCCTCCAGGAAAAGAGGAGATATCAGTTAGATGGTTTAAAAAGGAAGATATCCAATTGAGAGACGTATTGATAGAGGGGGAACTGAAAACATTTAAAGAACTAAAAGAGAGGGGAGGAGATA